AATGGGGGCAAGGTAGCCAAGAGTCCTGCTTCTGCCAATGGCATTTCCTGAATTATTTCGCACGATATGAACTCTTGCAACAAGTCCCAATAAGTCTTAAGCTGCCAGGGAAGGGAAATCGAGGGAAAACTCCTTTGCTGCTGTTGCTGTTGCTGTTCCTTTGCATTAAATCAATGAATCGAATGCGCAACGGATGTCAGTAAGTTGCCATTTTGAGAAATTAAAAGTGCCCATTGCCGTTTTCATTTCCGTTCCACCATCCACTCGCTTCCGCTGCCAGCGGTCAGGGCAGAGATATCTCCGCCTCTCTCAGGTAATTCCCCAAACACAATCCTATTAAAAAATGCGTAGGATACTGAAATTACTTTCGCCAGCCGGACGCAGGAGGTCGCCGGACTGAAAGGACCCAGGGACCAAGGAGCAAGGACCAAGAAAAGCCGCAAAGCACTCGATAATGATGCCCTGGCCATGCTGATGCGCCCGATAATAAGCTGCCTAATAACCCAAGGCGTGGTCCTAGATGGGCGTGACGCCCTCAGTGGTGGTCCTTGCTCCGGAGTCCGGACTGCCTTTACAGTTCGTCAATTTTAATGGCTCGGGTGTTGTCGTCCGCTCCTTTGGACACACTCGGAAATCGCTGCTAAAAGTAATTCACTTTTATATTAAAAAGATTTTCGTTATGCCCGGGTCGCACGCTCATTTGCATGGCGTCCTGTTCCGTCATCTCCCCTGTCCTGTCCCTCGACTCAGCTCGGCGAAAAAGTAATAAAATAAACAAGTGTCCTGGAAAAAAAGGAAGGGACCATGCCATACCATGGCATGCAGTAAAAACCGGGTCTACGCCGATGTCCGCCGACAAAATGGTGTGAAAGTGATTTATATTTTAATTCAAAAATGAATTATTTAGCACACTTTTTAATTCCTTTTAGCAGGACACCGCTGTGAGTCTGTGAGCCTTCTTCTTCGCTTTATTACGGCTCGAATCTGAAATTCTGATTACTTTTTATTTGCTTTTATTTCGGGAGTTTATTGCATTTGGTTCCGAACCAAAGAAATGCAAATATTTCGGCTCATTATTGCGCTACATTTAACATCCCCAGGAATGGGGGGAGACAGCAGGCCTAAAAGCTGTTGACAGTTGGCCAAACATCCCATCGAAGGCAGGACAGGACCCTACTCCGCAGCAGCCAAAGGACAAATGCCATCAGACAATTTGCTGCTTAAGCGTGCAATGACATGGCGCGGAAATGGAAACGAACTTGTGCATAACATGCATAATAAAGTACACCAAGGGCCCGGGACTTGCCAAGGATGCTGAGAGCTCTCCACTGCCGGAACTCAGTGCAGTTGGCAGCGCCGCAAGTGAACTAGTTCCTGCCCTGCTCCTGCTCCTGCTCCTTCTAGCAGCAATTCCTCATCTCACATGCTAAGCGAAATCTGGCTGTTCTTGAGTTAACCATTCCGGGTGTTATGCCGCGCATAAAAGCTTGTTATAACCATTACTTGGCTGGGGATCGGACTGGGACTGGGGTTGAACAGGCTGGGTAAATGCCTGTGAAATCGACAGTAAATTCAGCAGTGTGCAGTCTGCAGTCTGCAGTCTCCCTGCTCCTGCAACTGATTATTACGGACACATAAGCAGCTCGGGGGCACAGCACTAACAATCCCGGAGCCACAACATGGCGAAAAAAGTATATATTGCGCGGGGGCAGAACGAATAGAATTTGCAGTGGCCCTGGTCCTGGCTCTGGCCAGACTGCAGCTACGAAAAAAAATTTGAATATAAAATGCGTTATGCTGTGGGATTGACAACGACCCGGGGCGAAGCGGGGCAGCGCAGGACCGCCAGATCCTGCGGCAACAATGAAATTGCGTATGTAAATTTCATGTCGTTACGAGCGGCGGCAGCAGCAACATTGCTGAAATAATTAAAGTGGAATGCACCCACAAGAAAAATAGAGAAAAAATCGCGACGCGGCCAGTTTGGAGTAGCAAGAACAGGAGCGAGAGGAGGAGTACTAACAGGAGCTGTAGTTGCAGAGTCACACAGTTGTCCTTAGTTCTCGGGGTCCTGTTTGTCTATTGCCAGCTTCGCAGCTTTTTTTTTTTTTTTTTTTGCAGCTGCTCGGGTTGGTCCTCCGTCCATATGCAAAACAGTGTCAGCAGCTGCTCCTGCTCCTTGCATTGCAAATGGGCGACTGCGGCTGCTCCTGCGACTCTGCCTGTGACTCTGAATCTGACTGCAACTTGTCAAAAAATGTCGCAACAACTGCGGCAGCAGCAAACGCTTTGGCTTTGCTTTGGCATAAATATGAGGGCCATCAAATTAATATGCACGGCATATGGCTGACGATTTTGTGGTACAACATGTTAAGTGCATTCAGCGGCAGCTGCTGCTTTTACACTTGGGATAAAGATTGGAATCTTTAGCTATATAATTTTTAAGAAAATTTTAGCTTGAGATAAATTTAATGATTTAAAAATATATTAAATGAAAGACATACTTCCAAAGATTAAAAAAGCAATGATTGTAGAGAATTCTATTCTTGATTTTTATTGAATTTTCCTCCCAAGGAACATACTTTTTTTCTAGTGTTTAGCTTTTGTACCTTAGGGAGCAGCGCATAATGCAGGGCTCCGGACTCCGGCTATGACTCCTCGGCGTCTTGGCAGGTTTTTCACGCTCCTTGAGTGACGAGCACGGATGCCCGGCGTGAGTTATGATGCTTAGCCGCATTGCTGCGGCTGGCATGGCAAAGATAAAACTCCTGTCGCCTGGAGCGATTTTCGAGTGTGCTGCTGCTGCAGCTGCAGCAGGAACAGGACGAGCTGGAGGAGCGTTTAATTTGACTCGGAGTTGGCACCCGCAACTGTCCGCGGGTGTGAAGCTTTTAGCGGAATTGTCTGCGGCGTGTGTGGCACATGTTGCAGTGTCAGCTGAAGTGTGGCCCAGGACCCGCGACTCCTTTCCTGTCTTGCTGTCTCGCTGTCACCTGTGTCCTTTGTTAATATCTCAAATGCATCTCACCGCTTGGCTGGCGGTTGTTCTTAATTTAAAAGCTTTTCATTAGAACCTCAGGAAAGCAGGCAAACAAACAAACCGGCTGTCAATTTTCAGACAAAGAAGGGTGTCAGAATTCGACTGTTCAAAGATATATATGTATGTAGTCATCTGGGACGATGTTATCTCCTGGCTAATGACATGTGAAATGTGTTGATAAAAAGCGTGGGAATGGCACTAAGACATTATAAATTTGCGTTCCGAACGTTTGGCAGCTGTTGATTCAGTCCACTCAACGCATCACTGAGCAAAAAGTGGCCCGGGCTCAAGTTTTCCCAAGGAATAAGGGAGGAGTGAAAAAGCCGGATCAGCCTCAAGCCCAGGCCGTTACGGTCAAAGGGAGCCGATGGGCTTATGGAGAGAAGGGGGCGTGTTGCTGCCCCTTTTGGCATATTAGCCACGCATCAGCGGACACACACAGCCGCCCTGTGCTGTCGCATTTGATTAGACTTTGTTTGCTGTTCTTCGGTCCTGCTCAAAAGGATATTGATAAAGGCATTGGCATTGTCATTGGCCACAACGCACACCCACACTGTCCTGTCTGTGGGCAAAGGTGCGTTGCAAAAGTTGAGTCAAAGGTTTTCGCTTTGACTCGTAATTAATTTGCTTTGTTCCATCCGCTTGGCTGGGCAGCAGGCCCAGGGACAAGGCCAAGTGAAATGGCCCTTCCTCGGCCGCGCCATAAATTATTTTATTAAGCCACTTCGGACGGCCCTTCGGCACGCCCCGAAGTTATGTGAATTATTTTGCAAAAGTTAATTTCATGCAATAAATTCTAAATCGCGTTGGCAGTCGTCTCGAGTCTGGAGTCGTCTTGAGGCGCTCTCGATCTGTGTTTTTTCGGGGAGCGTGTGAGGCCCAGCGCCTGCTGGCCTCGGAAGTATGCAACATAATTACATTTTCAGCAGGTGATTAAATGGGCCGTAATTGTTTCTGGCGCTCCCGTTGTTGTTCCACTAATAGCCGTAATTAGTGGCTGATCCCTGGTCGGGGGATGAGCGTGCCACTGACCGGACTCTGAGGAGGACTCCGGCCTAAGGGCACTCGGAGTCGGAGGCCTGGCTGACTTTAATTTATGCCCGCGTGTCTCTCGGGCGTTTGTTTCCGCATTCGCCACGGGCTACATTTAAATTACACGACTCCAGCTCTTACGACCTCAGACCCCCAGAAAATGTTGGCCAATAAAACTTTTTCACTCAAAACAATAATTGAGCGTATTTGTCGGCCGGCCCACTTGACTCGGAGTCTGAGTCCTTGTGTGTGTTTGTGTTTGTCCTGGCTGGCTGGCTGCCTGGCTGGCACTTCGGGCATCAATAAGCATCTCTTGATAAATGTCCAATTTAATTTTGTTCTCTTTACTTATCTCTGCGCCTTTGATTCTCCTCCCACATGGCCTGGGCTCAGTTTTTTTTTCTTTTTTCTTCTTACATGCAGGAGCTTTTTCCGCCTTTTATCCCATTCTTTTTTCTCCAGTCTTTTTTTTCCTGGCTGCCGATTTTATTCCGTTTCATTGCTGGCACCATTTCTTACACTTTGTCGACTTCTTTTTCTGGGCTCTCGCTCTGTAATCACGATACGAGCGAATGAATGGCATATTCGTTTGCCACTTAAGCAGATAAGCATTTCAGCAATTGAGAGTCGGGATTACGGCGAGAGCTCTTGGATTTATAACCCGAAGCGGACAAATAATTTAATAAAAAATATTACAAGGTGACAGGCCGCCCTTACTTGTTGCTCTTTTGGGTTTGTATTGATGTTACAGCTCCGTTTTCCCAGTGTATCCATGCAGTTCCCTCTTGGCTTCTCCACATCAATTCCATGATTTTCATTTTTTCCTCCGCTTGCTGGCCAATTTATTCTCCCTTCCATTTTTCTTTGGGGTTTTTGCAGGCTGCGCTTTAAATGTAATTTAATTCGTCTTCCCATTTTCTACTTTCAGACATCGCCGCCAGCAGACGGCGTCTGGCGCCGGAACTGTCTAGCGGGTAAGAAATATGCTGAGGCTTTGATTTAATTGAACTTGCGTCATTTTGCCCCCGGAACGGAGGTTCGGATCCAGCAAAGTGTGCATCTGCTCCATATTTAAAATACGGGCGGGCTTATTAAACAGCTGGCGGATACACAGAAGCGGGGAAATCAGGTGGACTAGGGAGGAAGAGGAGCACAGGCGGTGGAGTTTGGCTAATGGAAGTCTGACACTGATACCAAGCGTGCCTGCTAACCTACTCCTGCTGGTGGGAGACACTCGAAAAAATATGTACTAGCATATTTTTCGTAAAATGTTTGTTAAAAAACATAGAGAAAATGGTTAAAGGTAAAGATATAATTTAAATTGTTCACTAATCTTTGACTACATTTAACGAAGTCTTATTAATATCGTTTTCTTTAGTTTCCTTAAAAATAAACCTACATTTTATCATTTTTTTTATAAAAAAAAAAACATATTTAACAAATATTTTCCCTAGTGCATGCCACATGTGGGCCAGCATTGGGGCTAGTAAATATTGTCTCATTTGGTATGCTGTGTGCCGTGGCCAAAATCAATAAATCAAAGCCGGCCAGGCTAGCGCAGGAGCGCAGGATGTGGCTCAACCGAGGATGAGGACTGGGCGGGTGGCAACTTGCCACGGGTCTTGAATGCGACGTCACGAATGTCGCACTCTGGCGCGTGCCTTGGCCCCAGCTGGAGCTGCCAAACATATTTGCGTGCGACAATGCAAACAATGCTGTTGCCACGACCACGCCCACTCCCGCGACACCTCTCCTCCCTACTAGCCGCTTTCAAGGCCGCTAGCCCGTAATCCCGTTAGTTCGCCCGCATTGATATCGCCTGTCTAATGTTTACAACAGCTTCCCCATGCCCAAAGGTCCTGACCTGGCAACAGGTTGACCCAACCACCCCTCACAGGCATGCAATGCAAACTTTAACATTATGCAGCCCTATACCAATACTATGGCTATGGCTCTGGCCATACTATATATATGTACATACATCTGGGGGCACTGTGCATGTCAGCTGGGAACTGTGCGGCCACAAAGGCAAATACGCTTGGCTAAAACTTGAAGCGGCTCAAAAGTTTCACGTTTTAAAGGCTTAACTCCCTTTCCGGATCACCCCCTTTTTGGGGGCCCACCCCTGGAGAGCGGCTGTGCTGATTTTTTATGCGCCGCTCTGTGGGTTTAAAAAGCAATTCCGCAACTGTTTTTGCAATGCCGCACACAGAACTCGGCACAGAGCACACACACAGCACAGCTCACAGCATACGGCATATGTAGCCAGGAGCTCCACATTCGCATCCCAGCGGACTGGCAACAAAGCCACCGAGCCACAGAGCCATCCCATAGCCATGGTCGTACCCATTTCCATTCCCATTCCCATTCCCATTCCCACTCGGATTCCCCAATTCCAGTCCCAACAATGCTGTCGTTATCGTCGTTTTCACTTCAATTAAAAGTTGGCAACTTTTCTTGCCATGTTTACCTAACTGGGCGAGGACGTGGATCTGGGGGGAGCTGGGCTCCGATTGCCATTATGCAGATTCGTATGGCTGATTACCGAATTACAAACTGTAATGGCAGCAATTGTTTCGCTGGCATATGGCACGCCAATGGCAAGTAGGCCGCAAGTTGTCACCGCCAAGAAAGGACCCCCGTGAAACGGGGGCGAAGCTGGCTCCTGGCTGGTATCTTTCAACAATGTCATGCAACAATTTGCAGCAGACACTCGCACACCACCCAGGACACACACGCATCCTGACAGACCCCACGACACACAAGTGAGCACAAAGAAGGTCAGACCTTAAAGCACGTATCCGCCGTGTGGGCCGAACGACTTCCGTGCTGTTCACGCCCCAATGCGTCGGTCCCAGTCCTTCCAGGCCGCTGATCCCACTGCCAGGAATTTCCGCGAACGTTAATTGCGACAAGCCAGCGCTCGCCGGGGCCAAAGGAGCCAAAGAAATGCCATCTGCCTGCACCTGGAAATAGCTGGAGAGACAGGTGCACGCAAGTGTATAACAACTTAGTTGAGGGACTTGCCGCACTCAAAGGAAATATTTAAAAAAATGAAAAAAAAGGGAAAAGAAAAAATAAGGACTCTGCACTTAGTCGCTTGACATATGATATGAAATCTCCACGAGCTTTGGCAGCTGCACGACATTTTTCTAAGAAGTAATTAGATGTTAGAGGGTTGCAATCCTTAAGGGGACTTCTTGAACTGCATGTAAGATAAGGTATTTAAAATTATATTTTTGCTCAACAAAAATCTTATTAAATTGGTTATACCCTGTGCCATCTCTAGACAGTCATCTCCCCAGGCTTCCGACTCCATATGTTGCAATCGACGACATCCGAGGGAGTGTTAGGGGATCGCCATTTTATGGAGGTGTCATTTGGCATTTTCTTGCCGCCACTCGCTTAGCTTCCTGCCCGGCTTCTGGTATCATTAAAATTGATTCTGCAAAGCGCAGGACTCTGCCAGAAGGAAGGAGCAGGGAGTCAAAAGAAAAGCCAGAGAGAACCGATGGTAGTTGGCTTTTCCATTTGCCAAACACCAAGGAATTTGCTAAATTGCTTTTCAGCGTGCACACCTTGCCGGGGCATCGGCAGCTACTTGGTTGTGCGTTTGGTTTTGCAATTAGTTTTCGCCCGGAACCACGGCAACAACGGCAAAAAGTTGCACCGAGCGAGGAGAGAGGAGTAGAAACACAAGGTGGAAGGGGCAGACACACACGCAAGCCACATACTTTTTATTGTGGTCTATTGTCAAGTTATTGTTGCGACTTTAGCAACTGTAACAAAAGCGATTAAAACTGCCATAAAACCTGAGCCCATTAATAGCGCAATAATATTATCAGCTTATGTTCAATGCCTCATGCCGAACTAAACTTTGTCTCTTGTATTTTCATTAACATTTATTGGTTTTTTACTTAGACGTCAGGACATAATAACTTGGTCCGTGTCCCAAACACACACACACACACACACTCCCTTATTTCTGAGTCTTTTCCCATTTGCTGCAGGTCCTTCAGGCTCAGCATCGGCTTCTGACTCTGACTCTGGCCTGGCCCTGGCTCCGGCACACAATATTTCGCGGTCGTATCAGCGTCATCATAAAATAACGTTAATGACGGCAACAAGGTCGTAAAATCAAAATTTCTGCTATTTCCACGCTGAAACCGCTGCGGTTGGCAACAGCGAGCAGGGAGTAGCTGATGCCGGCAGCTTAGCAACATTGTTGATACGAGACCAGAGACCAGAGACCGAACCAGACCAGATGAGATGAGATGAGATGATGGCAATGGCGCTGAAGCTGATGCTGGCAATGGGGAGACGGAAACGGAGACCCAGCCGAGACGAGACCCGAGACCGAGACTGCTGCCCTTGCAACCCAGCAGGCGCCGACATGGCCTGAATACAAGCCGCACAATCAAAGGCACACACACAAACAGCAGCCAGGAACAGGAACAGCCAAGCCAGGCCGCAATGTTACCCGGCTGTAACATGTGGCGTATGCGTAATACCACGGAAATTTAATTACTTTAAAGGCGCGTTAGGTGGGTCAGTGGATTGGAAGCACACAAATAAAGCCATCAAACTTGCGGCAAGGGATCACAGCCACTTGATTGTTGAGATAAAAGCCAAGCAGGAAAGTGTGGGTGAACCCGGAAAGAAAATACTTAAGAGTTCCTATTAAATATCATAAAGTCTAAAATGTCTTTAAAATATTATTTATATACTTATTTCTTTGTGTAATTTCGTCTGAGTCTCAGGGACTTTAGAGTTGAGACACAAGCTCACAGGCTGGCTACTTATCAGGCACTTAACGGAATTGTTAAAATAAATTCCACATTGTCTGGCACAGAGACCTGTGATAGGTATTTCCCTCCCACTCCTGCTCTCCTGCCTTCTTCAGGCCACTGCAAATTGTATTTAATGCGCTGCCAGGGCAACCAGTTGAAAGGGTCTACATATTTTCTATGTGCCAGTGGGACGTGCAGCGCTTTAAATATTCATCAGGCGCAGGTCAGGGTCGTTGCCGCAAAGTGAGAAATGATATTTGAAATTAATTTAAATCACCGAAAATGTGAGCCATCGGGAATGTGCAGTTTTTTTTATGGGACTTGGATTCAGCGGAATGGGAATCAATGGGAAATCGCTGCCAAGACCTTGGACAGCCATTGTCTGAGCCCGGTTTATGGCCAGGGTCGGGGGGTTTATGGATGAGTGCGGGGGCCAGTGCCGTTCAGATTTTATCGTGGCGGCGTTAAAAGGTCGTAAACGTCTGCTGTCTGTGGCCTAAGTAAATCAGCATAAAACCTAACTAAATGAAGACAATCAAAGTGTGGCCACGCCCCGAATTGCATATATACATGTGTCTCATTTAGACATCGGGCCACTCGAATTGAGTCACAGCAGCAGCGGCGGCGGCAGATGGCAGGACTTGCTTGCTGCTTGTCATGGTTTTTGTGCGACGGCTCCTTGCACTCGAAATTATGCTGTGGCCAGGACTTTGCCTTTTGGCCTCGTTCCTCTCAAAATATTTGCAGGCGAGGCAACAAAAAGTAGCCCAACAATATGGTAAACTATATAAAAATTTGCCCAGGCCAACAACAGCGGACAAAAGGTCGGGATAGCGACATCGTTATTGTCCTCATTGTGCTGGGCCTGGTCAAGTGGCCAGCAGCCGGGACGATGACGAGGACGATAGCCATAGAGATATAGCAGTAGCGGCAGGAGAAGCAGTAGGAGCAGCAACAAGGAAGATTTTACTGTCCTAATAAAAGACAAACAAAGGACCTTTGGGGCGGCCAGCATGGAGCTCTCTCGTATCGCCATTTGCATTATTTTATTTGCCTATAAACGGAGCCATATTTTCTGCAAGTGTATGAAATACACACACACACACACACAGAGGCATTTGTTTATTTTCCTACACTAGACAATTTTAAGCAAAATAAGTAATTAAAAAAGTCATAAAGTGGTC